GCTTACAGACACAGAATGTGTATACTTTATGGGTCGGTCTACGACCAACATTTTGATGTGTTAACAAGTAAGAAGTTATAGTTGGGCGAAGCCTACCATATAATACCCTACACCAGTTATAAAAATAAAATGTGATTTATTGTTCATAATAAAGCATCTAAGTTGAATTGTACCTTGCCTCAGATATACTTTAGCTATTTTTTGTTGAATAAAATTGTGTATATTTAAGTCATATTTCAAAGGGGGCTAGGGTCAAATACATCAGGGTCATGAAGGCTAGTATAGAACTTGGCTTTGCAGCTTTTTGTCGAGATACGAGTATATTGAACATAATTATGAACTTAAAAGCCCTATTCGGGGGGTTCAGTTGTATGGGGGCTAGGTCAAATATTGGACCGATGTTACCCATTTTCAATAGGATCCGTCTCTAGTGCAATAGAAGATCATGCAAAATTTCATTGAATTAACTTCAAAATTGCTGTAGTTTGATTACAAGGTTTACACGGACGGACGGACATAGCTAAATCGACTCAGAAGATGATTCTGAGCCGATTGGTATACTTTAAGGTGGGTATAGGACCAATATTATTGTGCGTAACAAACATAAGCACAAACCCAATATACCTACTAAAGTGGTGTAGGGTATAAAAACGAAGTGAATATGTGCTATGTGTATGGAATCATACAACTTTAAAAAATAAAAGGTTCAAATATGTATAAAATTAGCTCTGCGGAATTTTGTTTTGCATGAGTCGAAAATAAAATAAGATCGTAATTTTCAAATTAATGAAAATTGTGGCTCAAAAAAAGAAAATAAAAACAGGTTTTGTAACAAATCCCAGGATTTATTTTGAAAAATCCTGGGATAGGGATTGGCATCCCTACTCTGCATGCTCTACATTCATCTGAATCCGTTTGAAAATGTTTCTATAATTGTGACCATAAACCTTCCACTCAGATTAAGTATCTTTATAAATACTATCCTTAGACTTGCTCATTATAAGAAGGCTTCCCGTCCAATTCTTGTTAGGGTTAACCCAGAGCATCTACGTTGCTCTACCCACTGTTTTGTTATTTGCTGTGTCGGGCGTTTTGGTATTTATTAAGTAAACTTCTCGAAATTCCTTTCATTGTCAATTGTTTCCGTGTGTTCCAACCATATGATGCAAAACTTATTCGTTTAAGCCTTTCGAGCAGTCTAGTGCAGTCTTGGATTTAACCTTGAAGCCTAATATCGCCTTAAATGTCTTCTGGGTAGCGGGGTTTTCAGTATAGAATCCCAGATTTGCTTTGTCCCCCTATTTAGAGCGATATAGTGACTATGATATTCTAACTAGAATCATTGTCTCAATGTTCTCAATGTATGCGATCGAGCATTTTTGTATTTCCAGTTTAAAAAGTAAATAGGACCTAGAAATATTAACGAACGTATAGAAGTCATTAGCATCCAATATGACTTTGATTATATTGTGAAAAAGACCTGTTTAGGTTTCGCATAATTATACATATAACCCCCGTATTAATTAACGCTTAATAAACCAAAAATTAACGTTTAATATCTTTATGAATACAGAGGCAAGTATGTATTTAGTATATACCGGAATTTCACTAATAATACTGGTTAATCTGATAACGATAACAAAATACACTTCTTTTAAAAGAATTTATCAGTGAAAAGTTATTATTTCTGTGATTACGGGTGCATAAAAACCTTGACAACAACCACATTAGGGTGGTTTCTTTTTAAATTACACATTTTGGGAATTATGGCGATTGCGGTTCGGATTGTTGTTAAACTTTAAATAAACTAAAATATTCAGAAATTTAATACTAGACAAATTATTAGTATTGTTGTAAAGTAAATTGATAATAATACCGATAAAATACATTTCTCTTACAGAAGCATGGAATTAAATTTTATGGGTTAATATTTTATCTTGAACTCCACGAAATTATCTAAACTCGTTCGCTGTTATTTTTCACCAAAAATCACAGCACAATTTATTCATAAGTATGGCATCATTAATTTGTAAACTTCCAATTATTTGTTCTCACTTTTACGATTTCGTTTTGGTTTTTGTTGTTGTTCTTCTTCTTCACCACACAAACCGAAAAACACAGTGTAGGCGTTTGTCCGTCTACTACAAAAATGTTTCTAAATATTTGACTGGCTAGTTAGACTCTGTGTGTCAGTTGAAAGCGATAAACAATGTAAACAAAGGCAAAAAAGCATAAATAAAACAGCCAAAAGCCAAGACATAAAGAAAGAAACAAATATTAGTTAAACAATGCATTTGATTTTGAAAGAAGAAAGAAAAACAATATTAGTAGAAGTAGAAATATATATATTCTTACTCGTAAAAATCACACTACTAGAAACAAAGGGAACAACAAATACAAACCGGCGCCATAAATATTATTTAAATATGTAAAAATGTGCTATAAATGGTAATGTTGGTCTATCGGATACCCTATGTGTTTAAACAACCTGAATGGCAGTAATCGAGGCGAATTTACAACATATTACAAACGATTCCGTGGAACATCAGGAGTTTGAAAATTATAGATCGTATGTGTCTGGAAGTGGCCTCCTGTAGGTTAGTGGTTAGTGTTCTAGTCTGGTAGACCGGAGGTGGTGGGTTCGATTCCCACCTGAGGCACTGGTTAAGGAGCGCACAACATATTGGCACTATAGGACCTAAAGAAAATGATCAATGAAAACGAAGTACTACCTAAATAATTACAGAATTATACATATTTTCATTATTTATGGGACAGTAATTCATATGACCTTCTGGTCATATTGCTGGTTTCACAATAGCTTTTTCAGTACAATTTTCCAGAACTTTATTATTTCTGTTTGAATCATACAAATATATCGGGCAAAATAAGCTTTTAAGTTGCGGAACGTTTCTCGATTTCTCTAACGGTAACTTACTAAAAGACAAAAATTACTACTCTGAGTAGGACTAACTTCGCGTGATTTACAGTAAAGGATGTTGAACTTCAGAGAGCAAATGTATAGAACTAACTTTGCGTGATTAACAGAAAGGGGTTGTTAAATTTCAGAGAGCCGCGTTTTTAAAACATTATTTGACAATAAACTGTTTTCCTAAGAGAAGAGTTTTATGTGGGGTCAATTATGGATTGATCTTCATGTACTATAATAAAAAGTTTCAATTCTTTGAAAATATGATTAAGTCTTGAGCTGGGCTCAACCGAGAGACCTCAATGTTAACCCGGCGATGACGGAAATCTGTCTTTTCACAAGAAAGATAAATATTTCTACGTAAACTGATCCTTGCTTTCTGGGCAAGAAGATACCGTTGGCAGACAAAGTTAAGTACTTTGGTGTAATCCTTGACCGGAAATTAAAATGAAGATACCACATAGAGGATAGGATCAACAAGGCAACTCAGTGCTGGGTGATATGTAGGAGTACTATAGGCATGAAATGGGGTCTTAGTCAGGCTATGACAAATTGGCCTTATAAAAGTGTAATTCAACCAATTCTAGCTTATGCTTCAATAATCTGGTGGACTGCTTTGGACAAAAAGAGCAATATCAAACTACTACAGGAAGTTCAGCGTACTTGGGTATAAGTGGTGCCATGTGTACTACATCAACCAAGGCTCTAGAAACGTTGCTAGATATTACACGTCTTGAAACATACATATTTAAGATAAGGCGGCGCTTACAGCCGAACGGCTTTTTACTTTAGGCGAACTGGCCAAAAGCGGTAATAGGACGCATACTTCTATCCACATATACTGGACACATTGGAAGCTTATACACAATCATCGGACGTGTCTGCTCGCATACCAGACACAGAATATTTCGGAAACTTTGCAAATACCAGTAGCAATCCGTTGTTATACGGATGGCTCAAAATTGGGGAACAGAGTGGGGCTGGGGTTCTATATTGAAGACCCAGGAACAGAAATATACCACAGTTTACCTAATCATAACACAAGCTTCCAAGCAGAAGTCCAAGCAATAACGGAATGCGTAAATTAGATTAAAATAAATGTGGCGCCCACATCCCTTAATACATTTACCGACATCCAGAAGGCAATTAGGCGATATCAGGTGATAGAATTAAATCTAAAACCGTATTGGATTGTAAAAAAGCTTTAACTGAATACTCTCCCAGAGGTAAAGTTTACATATGGGTACCAGGCCACTCGGGAGTAGTCGGCAACGAAAGGGAGAATGTAATAGCTTTATAGGGTAGGGAGCACGAGGTAGTTTACCTGACAAACCCAAAACCATTCGACGCAACGAAAGTTTAATTAAAAATATTAGTGAGAGAATCCCATAAGACCTCTTGGAATAATGACACTGTGGGTAGAACCACAAAGATCTAATGGGGTGACCCTGATGAGAGCAAGACGAGAAATCTCAAAATTACTCATTTTGAGGTACGTAATCTGAATGGACACACAGGATTACGAGCACATTTATGCAAAATTGGATGTGCGGATTCAGACGAATGTAAAGCAAGTGGAGAGGACAGTGAAACTCTGGAGCACTTTCTTTGTCACTGTCAGGCATTCGTCGAAGTTAGATCCAAGTGTGCACAACAGGCCCGATAGTGGCCTAGGTGTATTTCTTCGGATTTGATATAGTATACATCCTCCTATCAACCTAAACTAAGCAACATTTCAGAGGACATTTGTAAGAGGCTAGATGAACTTTTGAAGTGAATTCATCAAACATTTTGGAACAACAGATAACGCAATAAAAAGTTTATTATTAAATGGCAAATCTTACATGGACCCAGACCGAATACAAATAATAAATACTAGGAATTATTGTCCGTCCGTTCACAATTGAAATGAAAAAGGATGTGATTTTTTGGAATTTTAAGCTTTAGTATATAAAATTGTTGTTGAACTTGATTATTTTTTCGGTACCGGGTATATAAAGTAACAAATAATACCGATATTTCTGCGAGTAGGGTACATGATAAACATTAAATACACACTTGCACTACCTACATTTTAATCTGCTGCAATACTCGTATTTTGTTTTATGAGGTTGTTTACTTTTTGTTGGTTTATTTCTTCAGTTTTTGTTATTGTATTGATTCTTGGTGGTTAATTATGAATGCAATAATTTATTTTATTTTACAAACGTTTAAAACAATTAGTAATTTTTTGTTTCAATTAATGCACTTTTTTGTTGTTTTAACAATTAGCCTTTTAATAGCCAACATATATAAATTCCATAAACAATTTAATTTCTAGCTGGAATCTTATTAAATTTCCTGTTAGTGTTTTATCTTTGTTAAGTTTTATAAATTAATTAAGCATTTCCTTTTATCACTGACAGAGTTATGTGGTTTATCACTGTGGCACATGCATACAAAAACCACCATCACTTATTAAATGCCTTTTGCACTTTTCGTTATCAATATGTATAGTCCTGCGATATATTTGTTTCTTTTTATTTTCGCTATAACAAACTAAAAACGCGTCTGTTCGGTAATGCATTTCCCAGGTAATGGGAATTTTTTTAAATATTTTTCACTTCTTCCAGTCTCAGCAGTTTGATCAACAATAAATATTTAATCGTACGTTAGAGAAAAATATTTCACTTGTTGCACGTCTTTATTGCACCAAATGCAAACAACAACAAACTTTTGCTATTCGTTCCCAGTGATATCTTCGTTTGTGAAGCTTTATTTACTTTTTTTTTTTGTGTTTCGTTGTTGTTTAGTGTGTGTTTTTTTTTAAATTTTCCCCATTGAATTGCGAGTAACTAGCAGAACTCTGATATGGTCATGTGTACGAGACATCCAAATACATTCATCCATACACACATTCATTCCCTGACTGCACTAGACAAGCCATAGAAAAAACACTTCACTTCACTTACTTACTCATACAACAGGTCGTCATCATTTAGCATTAATACAGTGTATACAGTATAACAAATACTTTGTGGTTTAAGGTGACCAAGTGCAGGTGAAAAAGTAACATTTTTATACATTTATATTACTTATAGAAAGTGAGTGTCCTTATTAACAACGCGAAAGTTTAAATGGTAGTCCACGTTTACATATAGTGACAGTGTACTCGAGAGGTCAGCTTTTCCTTGGTTTATTGAATTTTACCAATTTGGGGATTCAATTTTAAATATCTGCCAGAAATTTAATGGAAACCCCCTTTAAATAATGTGATTACGGAGATATCAGCTCTGGTCCAAGTAGTTTCCCAATCAACCAAAGATTGTCGGCTTAGCAGCAGACAACAATAACAACAACTACCGAGCAAAAAATTCTCCCCTACAAATGGATCTTCTCCTCTAGCTCCTCTACACAAAACAATTAGATCTTGGTTCTAGAACAATCTGATTCTAGGGAAACGTTTTTTCCTCCGAGAAGTTTCAACAACAAAGAAAGTGGTTGAATAGATAGTGACAATCCGATAAGATAAATTCTTCGACTCTCGATCGGCTAAATAACGTGCCTGCAATTGGACAAGGAAAATCATTCAGCTATCAAAATATCCGATAGGAGTAACAAGGGAACATAGACAGACAGATCATTTCCGTTAATAACCACGCAAATGGTATGATATCCTAGAGAGCTAATCTGTAGACCAACATACGAATCTATCAAACAAACCGATGACAAGTTCTCACTTCTAGAGAATACTCTGACATACACTGCCTGACAAGGAAAGGAAAGACATCCGCTATATCTACATCAAATCTTTCCAATAAAATGAAGAAGATACATCTCACACAACCAGTTGTTAGTCCCGGCAAACTTGTACCTCAATTCTCCCTAATTGTAATCGCAACAAGTGGAGGAAGTCCATCGAGATATCTTTCCACGGAGGGACCATAGGGCGCATACAATGGCTGTTTTGATCAGCAGTGTGACAGAGTGATCTCCTACTGAAAACAATCAATTTCAACCGATAAAAACCTCATTCATTAAGAAACACGTCCGATACATTTATTCTAAGTATACAGGTGGACGAGGCCCATTTTACCCTTCATTTATTGCCAACGTTTAGCGCCACAGTCACTTATCTAAAGGGTTTTGTAACAGCACTGAACCTGTCTTTTAACCAACATTCTATTCCCTCGATTTTGAGTTTAAACCATAGTCACCACGTGCACCGAAGGGGCCAAGAAAACACAACGACCAAAACTCTGGCTACCAGTTGCCATGGTTCAGATAAGACTTACATCAAATCTTTCCAAGGAAATGAAGAAGATACATTTGACACAACCAGCCTGTAGTCCCGGAAAACTAGCACCTCAATTCCCCCGGATCGCAATCACAACAAGTGGAGGAATTTCATCAAGATATCATGCCACGGGGGACCATAGGGCGCATAGAATGGGTGTTTTGATCAGCTGAGGGTGACAAAGTGATTTCCTACTGAACACAATCCATTTCAACCGAGAAAAAGTCTGTAATTATAGCACAAGTTGTTGATTGAGATGGTAAGTTTTTAAAGTAATGCAAATTATCTAGTAGTCATGGTCACCTTAATGAAAACGTCATCATCACCTTTCTCTCCCATCACTTGCATTGAAAAATAAATAAAAAAAAAACAATTTCGTTTTCATTTTCAATTTCAATTACATTGTCCATTATTCAGCGATGACTTTGAAAAAAGAAAATACAAAAATAAAAACAAACAAAAAAATGAGAAATAGAAATAAAGAGAGTGTTATCAACTGAGAGTCAAGAAGATAAAAAAAATATAAACAAATATTTATTATTTTTTTTTTTTTTTTGCTACTTCTCCCCTTTTTTTGCATATTAATCCACAGGGTTGCCAGTATTTCAACTATTTAAAGCGTATCGTAGACGGGTTTTATTTCTTTATAAATATTATATGTGCGATTGTTTGCAATGCATTCATACGTTTAACATTCTTTCAATGGATTTCAATACATTTCAATACTGATGAAGCCAGTTTATTTTACATTTATTTGGTATTCAATACACATAATGATTGTTGTTTTATGCAGATATGGATAAAAATAAAATCTGACACTTCTAATAATTTGTGGTCTCAATACTTGTTTCAATAATGCAGTCACACTGCCAACGAAACTTTTTTTCTAAGTTTACATATTGCTTTGTGCAACATAGATGAGGTTTTTTATACTTTTTTGGGAATTTACGGTCGGATACCTCAAAAAAGAGGTGCTACCAATACCTTTAGTCTTTCCTTGGAATGATTTGACATGGAATCGAACCAGAGTGCCAGATAAACTGGTACTTCGGGTGGCCAGTTGCCCGAAGGACTTTGTCGTAAATAGTCAGTTGGTTGAGGTACCTTCAAGATCCACGTAGTGGCTGCGATTTAATACCCAAATTAGATGTCTCAATTCATTTTCCGATGCTGTTGCCATTTCAACAGATGTCATTGGGTGATGTGACAGAGCAACTTATACTGGATTCTTGAACTTGTTGAATATCTTTAACTTTTCGTCTGTCATTCCGTATATCGTTTCATTATGATCTGATGATCTGCGAATGAAACTGATGTAAAATGGTAAAATTTTGGGAAAGTCTTCTTGCTCTACGGGAGACTAGTTCTGATTGAGTATGCCGATTGAATATGCCATCTCAACAGGATGCATATTGATACATGTTACGCGACTAACGGTTCAGGGCCGTCTCTCAACTTGACAGGGTAATTATTGGGTTAATTTCACTTTGAAAATTCCCACACCCTTTATTACATTATCTCGACATTCAGAGGGATCTTGATCTATTGACTGGGTATTTTCAAACTACCAAATATGTACATATATCTCTAGGTTTTGTTGTCGAAGCTACAGAGCCTCTTGATGTGGTTGTGCGACTGAGAAACGTGAAATCTACCTAAGCGTATCATTATAGGATGGGGACGTTAAGGCGTCGCTAATTACAACATGTATTTTGATTTATCTCGGTATCATACCCGAGATTATGCCTTTCTCAAGTGCTTTTATTGCGGTTTACTTGTCATTCCACAAGAGATTAGATATCTCGAATACTCCAGCAAAGTGCGAGTGCATGGACCGGCAGAACCATCTACACAAATTGCCACCCGAATGTTCTTCATTGAAGTCACTCGGGGGCACTTGGTAGATCGTCCAAGTCCACCCAGTGGATGAAAAAGATCACCATGAAATGAGGCCGTCTAGGCAGGACACTTCCCCTGGGTCATGTTACCTTGATGATCATCAACATATTGCACTCCGGATGAAAAGAAGCGCTACCAACACTTCTATTTAAATGTATCCTCGGCCTTTCCTTGGAATGATTGGATCTGGTGTCGAACCAGGGAGCCTTATAATATGGCATCACGGGAATCGGTAGCCCACTGAGTAGGGTTTCGGACTTTGTTTTGTGCTGGTTATTGAAGAAATCTCTACGGGGTTCACTTAGTGACTGTAATTTAAACCCAAACTCGCGGAAAGAGAATATTAACAAAAGTCTTTAATTCTAGATATGTTTGGTGGAAGCGTGACTATGGGATTAGCATTGGAAATGAGTTGGTGTCAGGTATATAGGATACGGGATGCATGTAGGAATATGCGGACCTTACACACCCGTATACCTAGAATGAATATGTCTGATGTTTTTCTCAAAGAATATGTCGGATCATTGAGATGATTGTTCGGTTGAATGGCGAAGGATGTGAGGTATCTTATGCAGGTGAAACCATTGAATTTTTCTTTCTTATGCGGGTATGTTCAGGGTTTACTCTGTTTATACCGGATTTTCCATCTCGGAAATTAAACAATGGGGAATTTTCGAAGATTTTATTCCAACAAACATAAAGTTTTATTTTTTTTTTTTTTATATATAGATAATTTGTCGCTAGTGTAAACGATGTTTTAAACTACAGTTTACCACAAAATTTTTATTACATGTATGATATTTTGTGGCTTTTTCTTACCGATTAGTTAGATAATAATATGTTTACCGCAAGATTACGTAGTACTGCCATTTATTAATATACATACTCATACATATACATATTCATACTTAGTCAAGTATCATATTTCATTCAGACATGCTATTAAAATTAATTAAAATAATAAATTATTATTTATTGCCAGTATATTATATCATTAATACACATACACTCATGCACTGTCTGAAATTTAACTATTGGTTAAAACCACAGCTTCTGATGCTTAAATAAAGGGTTTATTTGCAATTTTGAATACGATTTTTGGCTTGGTCTTTCTCGAAATCTAAATTATATGACCCACTATCCTAAAGTTTTGCGTGACAAATCTTTTGATTTCTATTATCTTTAACAAAATGATTCGTTAAGTACTCAATTGAAATTTTTTTTTTTTTTTTTTTAACCAAGTCATTGACAATTTGAAACCTGTGGACTATACAACTAATTATTTATCTTGTTTCTTTTTAACCAAAAATAGTCGCAAAAATACAAGTGCTAGTCATTACCTTAATCGGTTTTTAATGGCAGACTTGTATTTATCAATTGTATGGTCATTAAATTGATTTCTCTGCTTGAAAACGTTACTATGTAGTAGGTACTACTCAACGTTTGAAGTGTGTTTTTAATGAAACCGATTTATTTGGTTTTTGAGTGCGATGAAAAACTTTCATTTTCAACATTTCTGTTATTACGGATGCTAAAAGTAAGTTGTGATTTCTAAAATTAAATGACTTGAACTTTGCTGAAGCTTTATGAACTAACATTTTCTAATACTTTGTAATATACCTCCCTGTATTTAGGCCTATT